TAAAATACTTACAAGTCGGCACTCAAGTAGTGTGAGCTCAATGGGCTCAGTTCGCCTCCGCCCGCTCCATGAGCTCCGCCCTGGCATGCACTGCTCGTTTATCCACTCTGGCGAGAGGTGCGCGCAGTCTCCGATGCTCAGCCGCTGACTCAAACTCTTCACGAGCCTCCTCCTCCGCGAGAAATGTAGCTTCTTCGACCTGCAAAGGCCGACGGACCGTTCAGACAATCTGGCGATGCCTGGCGCCGGAAGGCTCCCTCTGAGTTCCAGGCCCGACGGCTCTCGTCGTCTGCCTTCTTCATTGCACGCCCCTCGGCTGCTTGTGACTCGCGTTCTCTTCGTCGTCGCCCTCGGTGCGGGCAGCACAGACAGCCAAATTCAGAAACACTCTGACTTCATAGGCGCGTAAGGCCGCCGCGACGTTCGTGATCAATCCGTGCCTGAGGCAGACAATCTGCACAACTCATTCCTGAAAAACTTCGCGCTTTGCCATCTACGACTGATTTGGAGAGCTTTTGGGCCAAGCCTGCTCAGCACGTCGACTCTCGCGATCAGCTTTGGACATCGCCTGGGCTTCCAAAGACTGGGCAAACGGCTCAAAATGTGTGGCAGCCTCAAATGTTCGCAATAGTGGGGCAGCAGCGAGAGTCTCTGCAGCTTCTGCCTGCCCATCTAAGTCAAAGCTTGGTGTCGCCAGCACAGGCTGGAACGATTTCCGATGTTCCAAGAATCTGGTGCAATCGAAGCCTGCTTGAGCATCTCCACATACTGCTGCTCGGCATGCAGCAGGTACTGCTGCCAAGCCTTGGACTCCGCATCCGCAGTGCACATGGCCTGAGGGAATCGGAGACGGCTCGAGTCAGGAACCTCAAAGTCTGAACATGTCGCACTCCAGGGCCTCATGCTCCAATTCTGTTGCCATGGTTGCTTGCCTTTTTCGCTCAGCCTCCACAAAACTGACCATAGCTTCATCGTCATGCGCCCGCTTGCACGATCTTGCATGTTGTGCATGACCAGCCGGCCTCCACCAGTGCAACGAACATTCGTCTGCGCTGCTTGCTGAGCGATGCATCTCTCAGAGACTCTGCTGCGGCCTCACGTCGAAGGGCAGCAGCAAGGCTCCCCAAAACATAGCACCACAGAAAATGGTCCGCGATTGGATAACCTGCCTGGAGCCGCTTGCAGCGCTCTGCATCTGCTGGCTGCGCCTAGATGGGAACCAGCTCGAAGATGATGAGATCTGCTGAGCATAGCGACTGCGCCTCTGCCAACACAGCGGCTGCGAAGTCCGCATTTGCCGCTTCCCAAATTACACGCCGGCTTGCAAACAGGGCCGCCTGTGCCGATAACAACAATCTTTCACGGCAAATCAGTGCCTAACTCCTCTAACTCCTGCCTGGCGTAACCTCTCAGCTTCTGCAGCAGCCGCCTGTACTTTTCTCAGAAACTCACAGACACAGCTGAGCTGCTCCCCACCTGGCGCTGGCGAGCAGCCTCTTCCTCTGCTTCCTTCCTCAGCCGCTCTGCCTCTTGCGCCAACATGAAGCACTTATCCGACTTGAAGAGATTAAGCAAGTCGCAAGCCTCGGCAGCCTGCGCTAAGAGTTCCTCACGCAGGAGGGAAGACGAGCTGCCAGTATCTGGGGCAATCCGCACAGCGAGCCTTCTCCCGGGGACCCAAGACATGCCTGGCAGGAAGCGTTCGCTCAAAGTGTGAACGTTCTGAGGCCACAAACCCCAGCCGGAGCTGCTGGCAGCGCAGTTCCGGCAAGTCTGGTTGCGGCTGCTGAAAGTGGGCCTTGAGCTCCAAAAGATCTTTGTGGGCGTGCCCATGGTGGGCTCCGCATGGCTCCGCATGGCTCCGCACGGCCGCGGCGGCGTGCTGTGCCAACTCCTCGAGGCGAACCAGGGCCAGGCCTGGTTGCTCGGGGAAGGATGCGAGATCAGCGAGAGCCGCTGCACGGGCCCCTGGCCGCCGCCAAGCTGCATTGCCTTCTGCAGCCCAATCGGCCACTCCACATGCTGAGACCCTCTCTGCAGTCCCTTCCTGCACTCCTCCGAAGGGTGTGAAGAGCATCTGCAGCTGCAGGGCGCTCCAGTCCCAAGGCCTGAAACTGCACGAGATCGACATGTCCCTCAGCATGGTAGCTCCACCAAGCTCCCCACAGGCCAGTCACCACCAAGTGCGTGTCAGAGAGGTCCACTTCGCGCATTTCTGGCGCAACCTCTCACATAATTCCTGAACTCCTACTATGCTTCCTGCATGCTCGGGTGCCTCCTCCACGGCGGCGACCGCAGCCTCCGCGGGACGCTGGGCCTCGTCACGCATTGCGAGCACCGCGGCATTGTGAGCACGGGTGCATGCAAATGGGAGCCGAAGGGCCCGGCCAGCGGGTCTTCGGCCTCAGCCTCGCTGCTGGACTTCTCCCAGCCTCTAAGCGAGCGCACAACACGAGCACACGGCGTGACCACTGCGACTGGGATGACTGGGCCGGCGGCGTAGTCTCCGACCCGTCTGCTGCAGCTTGACACGAGCAGTTCCTGAGATCCAGGAGCACATTTTGTCTTGATGCGAAAACTTCGGCCCAGGCGCTTCGAGGCTTCGCTGGTGGCGAGGGTGATCCTGTCCGAGCACATCCGAGCACGACACTCGTGGACGCGGACGCTTTGTGTAGGAGCCTGCTTCTGGCTCTTTGGCATCTTCGGGAGCCACGGAGCCCAAAACCTCCGGGGCTGATCCGCCGGCAGGCGGGAGCCCGAGAGGATCCTTGGATTCCGTGCCATTCCGTGCAAGACTTCTGTGAGCTTCCAGCGGCCTCTTCGTCATGCACGATCTTCGCGCTGAAGCATTCGTGCACCTCATGAGCATGAGCCACCGGAAGACGAGAGCTTCCGCGACTCGGCAGGCAAGCTCATGCGAGCTCATGCCAATGCGGGCTTCTGGCTTCTGGGGGTCTCTGTGCCACTTCGGAACCTTGAGACAGGGTCGCTCCAGTGCAGAAACCCCTGATGTCTGGGGCCCGGCGACTCCTCCAGTCGAAGCCGTCCAGCGCTTTCACCGCTTTCAAGGCCGCGCCCGCCTCCTCCGCGGAAGGGCGGCAAGTGCTCGGAAGGCGGAAAGGCTCATCGGAGCTCAGATGAGCTCAGTCCTGGAAGGCGGCAAGGGCGATCATGGCTCCGCCACCTTGGGAGATTGCACGTACGCTGCGCACAGGCAGAACTCTGAGCCGTGAGATCGAGACGCTCGACTGCTTCAGGAAGCGTGGAGAGGGCACCAAACCTGACATTCGCGAAGTCTCAAAAACTTCCAAAGCAGTTCTGACAAAGCAGTGGACACCACAAGCAAAACAGAGTGGCAATGCCATGTCGGCTTGGCTTGGTCAAGAGAGCGGTGATCCGAGCATCAAGCTGAGGCCGTGCCTGTCAAGCGAGCCCTCTTTTCCAAAGCTCCCCACGTTTCTGGGGCTCCGCTTTCAACGGCCACAATGAGCTCCAACCTCCAAAGCCAGCCAGGAGATAGGAAAATTGCCAAGCCTCGGAACAAAATCAGACACGGCCCTTACATCAAGTCCCCCAAGAGGCTCTCGCAGCACCTTGGCGCTGACCTGTCGCACTCCGAACACAGCTCTGGCACATCTTGGAGGTCTGTCGGCGACCTCTTGGGTGTTATCGTCATCTGGCCTCAGGCATCTCAAACCGGTCAGAACACGCTGAGAGTGCTTCAGAGCAATGCCGCGACTGGGGCCACCAGCTCTGTGGGAGGCTCCGTCTCGCTGCCATCAGCTTCTCGGTCATCGATCGCCGCGGCGCTCCCTTCCTGACTTGCAGTCGGTACCGGCATAGGTTGCGCCACGGGCCAGCATTGGTGACCCTCCGTTTTGAACAGAAACTCCTGTCGCAATATTCGCATTCCGATCTGACAGCCCCAATGCTCTTCAGGACCCCCTCGAATCATGGACCCCGACTCGGACAGCGACGTCAAAAACTACGGTGGGCTGCCCCTTGCAAAGAGTGGTTGCGGTGTGAGCCGGCTGGTTGGGGAAATCAGGGCCAAGAGAACCGAGGAGTCCAAGACAAAAGCCGCATTCACCAGGACGAGGGTAGTGCTCCGCACCCGAGTCGCCGACCGTTCCTGCCGGCCCTGCAGTTCTGGTCCTCAAGATTTGCTTCCGTCGTCTGACGAAGTCTGACGTGCATCACTCCATCTCCTGGCGAGCATCTTGGCGAGCGCCCTTGCGATTCTGGGATCCTGGAGCTAAAAGCGAGCGCGGGACCGGGAGCGAGGGCACAGCCGCAGGGGCCCGGATCCGACCGGCCTCCAGCTTTGCGGAGAAGCGCTCCCAGGGATTCGCCTCGCGGCCTGGCTGCCGCGCAAGCGGGCTGCGCTCCAAGCCGGCCCACGGAACTAGGATCCTTCCTCTTTTTTGCATGCAGCGCTCCCAAAGCAACGCCGCTGTGACCGCTGGTCCCGCGATCTTCTATGTGTCCACGTTTGTGGGACGAGTCGGGTTCTCCGGCCCTCTCCATCTGGGGTGCACTGGGAACCCAATAAGATTCGATGGTTCGGTTCTGTCGACCATCCTGAGCATTCTCGAGCTGTACATACGGCCAAGCATCAGCGCTCGCACACGCTTTGGCGGCAAACAGTTTCCCATCCCAAGTACTATGCCCGCTCCACTGCAGATTGCACAGGTGTCGCAAGATATCTTGGTTAATTCTCTTCAGTGACCTCAGTGCGATAATCTCCTGTAGGGGCTAGCCTCTAGACGTTGTGACTGCGAAATGAGTTACACGATCATGCTGGCGCTTCCTCTACCTGGCCATCTGCCATTCTTAGAGGGAACGGCCATCTTAGGCATCATTGGCAACAACTGGCAAGTCAGCCGACAGGCTCAGGTGCAGCAAGACGTCGTTGGTTTCAGTAGCGTTAGCACATCAGTTCACACCTTACTGTGCACCTTCCCAAGAGGGCTCAGAAATCACGACCCGCAGCTCGTGGCTCAGACTCCAACTCCTGCTCTTGACCTGTCACAGGTGCGAAGTACACAAAGCCAGTTCAGTGAGCACTCGTCCCACCGGACTCCTCCAGCCAGGTGCGAACTTGTCAACAAGGGCGCAGTAACCCTGCTTGGCCTCAAAAATCAGTATCCGGTTTGCAGCTGATTCAAGATCTGTGCACAAGGTCAGGGCAACATCCTTGTCCATGCACTTCCTTGGACTGCATAACGCATCGCGATGAAGGTTGACACCCATAATTTTGGAACATTGCCGAATGCAGATTTTTGGGAGGCTTGCCAGGCGTCAATTTTGCCCATGCATCCCACTTTGAGCGGGCCGTCGCGTTCAAGGCACTGGGCGGATTTCCAAAAACGGGACCTTCGATTGCCTTCAGAGACAGGCTGGAAAGCTCAGAGTGCCAACCAATCGCAGGTGTTGGCAGCCTGCTTTTGGTAGGCATACAGCTGCAACTTCTCATCGCTTGAGAGCAACAGCCCCTGGCGACAGCTCGCTTCTGCAAAGTTCTGGTTCGATGCAACACTGCGGCCTTGGCGGCTTCTTGTGCTGCAGCAAAGCGCATGTTGAGCTCCGCAAGCCGTACTCGTCGTTCGGACTCGCGCTGCTCCTGCAAGCACAGCGGTGCATCGAGATGCATTGAGCATGGACTTCCGATCTCCCTGGTCCTGAAAGGACCGGCCAACTGGCAGCTGCAATGGAGCCGATTCGGCCTTTGTCGGATGGGTGCTCCGAGATGTCTTGCACTCTGCAGCCGACACACCCCTGCCAGCCCTGCCACACTGGGCTTCTTGTCCGCGGAGGAGCGAAGCCTTGGCGAACTGCTACAGACAAGCAGAGAAGTCGACGCAGACTTTCAATGTGCTCCAAAACATGCATTGCCTTGCTGCAGCCATGTGTCAATTCCCTGAAACCGAAACATCCATCACCACAGCATAATGCTCTAGATTGAGTTGGTTGTGGACTTCGATGGACCTTGTGCACACATGGCTTGGGTTCACTGCTTGGCTGCAGATGCCGACTATGGTAGGAACCTGGGCATCAGAGCTGCTGTCGACCTGAGTTCCACATGAAGACTGCAAGCCTCGAACTAGCAGCACTAGCATCAGAAGTTCCATTCTCGACGGATCTTGCCGTGCCACACTCTGGGCAGATCCCAGCGGAACAGAATCCTCTGAATGGGATGGCGGAGCTGGCAGTGCCGTTGATCCCGTGGCCTGAACTCATCATTGACGGAGCTGTCTGCTAGCCACTGCCACTGCAAGCACTGGTTGGGAGCCCTGCCGGTGAGACTTCCCTTGGACCGCGGGGGCTTGCTTGCGCCAAGAGAGCCTGCCGGGATGGCACGGAGAGAGAAAAAAGTCGCACGGTGAACCTTCTGCTTCAGCTGAGTGCACTGCTGCAGCGGCACCCCGAGGCTTGCCTCAAGCTTTTGCTCCCTGCATCCTTTCCTCAAGACAATAACCGCCCCGCCCGCCTGGCCGGGAGGCCCTCTTCGGAGTAGCAGCGGCGACATTCCTTCCATTCGCATGGTCACATGTCGCACGCCATCTGTAGCCACGCCTTCTTGTAGTGCTGGAAGTCGATTCGGTCATGACTTCCTCGCGCTCAGAAGCCAGATGCCGACGACAGCAACCAGAAGAAGGCAAGCGCTGCATGCGCTGCATGGCCTCTTTGGCATCTTCGGCATCTGCAGCCTCATCTGAGACCTTTGGCGCTTCTGACTTCCGGCCGAGCAGTGTCGGCTTGGAGCCTCGCCTGACGCCAAAGAAGGCAAGTCAGTGTCCGAGGCCCGAGGCCCGAGCTCTCTCCCGCTTGCCCCGTCCTTTGAGTGTGAGGTAGTGGCTGGACGCCCAGCAGATGCTCACTTGGGTCGTACACACCTCGTCTGACACAACTTTCGGTGAGGCGGTGTTTCGAGTGCAAGTCATAGCTCCTGTGGTGCTTAGGTCTCTGCCACTCCTGCGGCATCCTGACGAACCGCAGCCCATTCGAGCTGAGCGGGATCACCGGAATAACTCGAGGAGAAAAGGCACTACTCGCAGGTGCCTCTGTGATTGCGTGGTTAGGATAGTACGATAAGGCTCTGTTAGGCAATGGTGCGGCCAGCCGTTCTGGGTGTGTTGCAAAGTGCCAACCTAGACCTAGCACTGTCACTGGCCGGCTGCGAGTTCTGAAGCTCCGGAGCTATTTCAAAAAGCATGTTCTGAGCCGGAAAAAACGATATCAAGCACCTCACGGTCACTTCTCCGTGGCTCGGCCACAACACAACTATCTTACTGCATGAAGCCTGCTGCTGCCCGCTTCTCGGCATTGCTTCGCAAGTCCATGCCGTCCAGCTTGGACACCGCCTCATGAAGCAAAAAAGGCTTGCACCTGGAAAGGACACGAAGCGTTGCTGGGCATGTCCTTGATGGCAGATGATTTGTCCACAAAGGCCGCGTAAAGCACTGGTCCTCTGAGAAGTACTAATACAGTATCACTGTATCATGCTTGATGCAACTGTGTTGGAAACAGACCTCTTCCTTTTATCCTTCGGGGAACACGTATCCAAAGGAACTACTCAGCGATCCGTGTGGAAGTCCTTCCTTCTTCGCAAGGACCTGAGTCATGACCCTTAGACATGCACGACAATCATGCAGGCACGACCAGGTGAGGTTAAGATGTCTGCCGGCTCCAGAGCCAATGTTCCAAAGCGCCCGAGCCTCGACATATGGTGGTGAGGCCAGACAAGATAGCGACTCCCCACCGAGCGGGCCACAGTCGCGATACCCTCTCTTGGAGAAGCAAGCCGCTGTCTTCCTGACCGTCGCTGCCGACAGACTCATCCTTCGCTTGCTCTGCAACGGCGACAACCTCAAGCCACGATGCCGGGAAGTTTTGCACCTTGACCAGCCTCGGATCCATCCGCTCCAACTTGCGCTGTAACCACCACTGCAGTGACCAACGCCACAACAGCAAGTATCTCGACGGCAGTCCAAGAAACCCCACGGCCACCGAAGACTGACGGGTGGATGCCTGCAATCGAGCTTCTGCAGCAACGTGCGTCTGCACCCGAACAGGCCTCCTCCTGATCACTGGGAGGCTCAGTTCCCTCGGAATCTGATCGCGGAGCATCAGCACCTAACATCTGGCGTCCAAAGGGAGTCCGCAGCTATCACCAAACCAGTAAACACTCTGGATCTCAAAACATGGGCCCAGGGGCACAACCTCGCAACAGCTTCCATGCACCTTGTGGGGCGCGCAGCAAAGCAGCAGCAGCTGCAGCCCCTGCTGCGTCCATGAAGATGGCACATTCACGCCATGACAGCTACGCTGTCAGCTTCGTGCTTCTGCATGCGCTAGGAACATGACTACAGGTACTTACTGTGCAGGACCCGTAGATGGTTCAGCTCCTCCGAGCTACGATGTAACATTGAAGCTTTCCAAGGTCATCGGAAGTGTTGCTGCAAGTTGTACCATCACTGCGATCCAGGCTGTCATTGGCCAGGGATGGCGCGCGCATGTTCGACTCTGCGACTTGGGGTCTCCAAGTACCTGCGACCCAGGCCGCGTCGCCAGACACTCGAGATTGTACACACAGCGGCATAGGTCTTGGTCATCTGTTTTGAACTACCGCTACTGTGGTTTCGTAAAGATAATAAATATGTCAATATGTCAGGTTCAAGATGGGTTACACAGCATGAGTGTGCTTGATGTGGGCTGCTCCGGAACGCACCCGTTTAGAAACGCTTGACCCGTCTTAGCAAGCATCCTTAGGATTCTTATGTGCGACATGCTTGACATGAGAAGTACAAGTATCCAAAATCGAGAAGCTTCGGTTTCCAACGATGACAGACAAGAGGCCGAAACCGAAAGTCTGCGTCATTGCTAACCCTATCGCCGACACCGGACCTAGCCGCCTGTTTGACAGATGCGAAGGCCAACAGCGCACACTCCAAGCAATCTTTTGTAAATTCGCTCTTCTTTTCTGTGATACGAATATCGCATGAGCATTCACGGAGCGCAGAGGTTGCTTTCGCGCTGTATGGGCGCATTTTGGGCCCTTTCATTGCGCACCGAGTGCCGTCCATACCCACGCATTGCTTGCATGGACAAATCATGCGCCATGCTTATGTGTTGCGAGGACCGTCTGCATGGCAAGATGACCATGCCGCGTCGTAAGCTGTGTGGATCTGCTTCACTGCTGCCTGCAAAACCTCCGTGCAGGTGAAGTTTGACAACATCGAAGGCCCATAGCAGCAAGTCTCCTATGCTTACAGGCAAGACGCGGAGACATCTGGCTGCGGTAGGTTGGCCGCCTGAACAAGCGCAAGAAGCACAAAGCAGGAATGTGCAAGTCCCACAACCTCCTTGCCTCGAAGCGGTGGATCAAGAAGCCGGAGTCTTGCAGCACGAAACCTCATCTTCGCGACCGACTGTCAATTTGAGCAGTTCCTGCATGCTGATCTTTACTTGTCCTTCAGAAGGCTTCGCGATAGCTCATGGTGCAGATCGAGATGCGAATCTGATCCAGCGTCTGCCTAGCACATAATTGCAGACACCACATTTCGGCAATACCTTTTACTCGCATCTCAAGACAAGAGAACGACGTCTCTGTTCAGCTCCGTCACGCCGCCAAGGCGGACTTGCAGCCCTCAGCAGCCATGAGGCTCCCGAAGACATCGCCATCACCTGGACACCAGACGCTTCCCCCAACGCACACGACTCAAGGTTCCGGCAGCAAGATGCAGCCACAAAAGGCAGCTAACATGAGACGTTAAGAGCCCGGCTGATGATCGCCGCAAGCTCGCCCATCAGGTTGGATGTCTCCCGCCACACAGCTCGAAGCTGCGCGCGGCTCCGGCGCATCGACTTCATGCCGGAGGAGTATGACTGCAGCAAGTTCAAGGTGCCTGAACAATGCAGGACATCACGTCGCGGTATAACACTTCGACTGTCAGCCAGATTCCGCACCTGCTTTGCAATTCTCGTACTCGGCCAGTGTGGTGAGGGAACGTTCAAGCTGGGTGATCTCCTGAGCAGCTGCGCGGAGCTTCTGAGCGCTGCGCAAACTTGCGGTCGTCGCATGCCGCTTTTACCTCTGACTCCCCTCCGACTCCCAGCCCAGCTAGCACCGCTAGATAAGTAGAACCAGCTGCCTTCCTGTCGGACCCGCACAAGAGGCCAGAGTACAGTAGTCAGCAAATCATCAAAGAGATCTGGGATCTGCTCTGCCACGCACCGATCCCTAGATTCCCCGGATGCCAACCCATAGAGTGTTGAGTTCAAAAACGTTCAACCCCTGCTGGATTCAAAAAGAGTGTCCGGAAACTCAATGACTCAATGATAACCCTACCTCGGATCCGGAAACTGACTAATGATTTTTCAATTCACTCCCCCCGCTGCTGTCGACAACGGCATGCAAGCCGGATGAATCTCTGACTTCTCTCAACAACGACTCATGATCTGTCGCTGGGCCTCCTTGCCAGTACTGATTTTGCGGTCTCGCCATCTTTCTGGCGTTGGCATGTCAATTTGCCTACGCCTGGCGCGCACGAAAAGCCAGCGGATGTCTACCCAGCGCAGCACTGCTACAGGGGTGTGAAACAGGAGGATACATGTGCTCAACAGGATGAATCCGAAGACTCGGGTCCCGACAGCACCTTCCTGAACTACTGCTGACATTGGCTTTTCTTGTAGGACAGGGCCTGATATTCTGAATTCGCAGACGAGGCAGGGTCGGTTGGCTGTAGAGGGATCCTCTCTCTCTCTTCACTTCACTTCACTTCACTTCACTTCACTTCACTTCACTTCACTTCACTTCACTTCACTTCACTTCGGGGCTTGGGAGACTTGTCAGGAGGCCGATTAGCCCCCTCCTGCAGAACACAACCACATACTCCGCTGCTAAGAAGATATCAACTCTCTCTCCTTCTTTTTCTCTAGAGGGCGTGGGGAAGGCAGGGGTCCAGCTAGCAGCAGACACCCGCGATTCATTGGTGGGTGAGTCCTTCCCTCAGAGGTGTTTCCAACCTGGGGGCTTGGCTGTACTTGAAACAGCCACCCGAAACGGAGGCGACTCATGCCCGAGAGATTTTTTTCGAGCATGCAGGGCACAGCTGCCTGTTGCCCGTCAGCACCCACTGCTTTCAAAATTCGCTGGATCATAAGTATGCATGCCTATTAGAGTGGGGCCTATGTGTGAGAGATCTCCATCTCCCTCGGTTCTGGCAAAAAGGCTGAATCTCACAGTCTAAAGGAGTGCCGTCCATTCTCATAAGAGGAGAATACTGCAGAAAACCACTCGCACTAAATGAGTATCCGCTCCGTCGCCTCCCCCCGCTTTGGTCGCATGCTATCCAGCAAGCACTCAGCTCTTTCCACACAAAGCCCACGCAACGCAACATGGCAAAGGTTCACATGGAAGTTGCGAAAGCAGTCACTCTGATGGCCCGGCCAAACAACAGTTTTTGTGTCATATGAGATCCCCCTCTTGTTGTAAACTCTCTCTCTCTCTCTCTCTCGCCCCGTCCGAGTGTATAGCGGTGTCATAACGTCATTCCGGCTGTCACCTGTCTCTGTCTGACTGAATTTGCCTTACCGAATTGCGGCAACCGATCGCCTGCAACCAAGTTTCGGCCCCGGCGATGTCAATGTAGCGGTCCAGCCTGTCCCTGATGCGCCACCACAACTTGTCCAACGTCACGAGCGTCCGCTCCGCGTCCAATCGGGCCCAGGACTTTGCAGCCTCTGAAAGGCTCTCTCTGTTCGGTGTTTGGGGCTCGGGTTCGGGCCCGAGAGTGCAGGTCTGGGATGTCCTTGTGGGCGTCGCGGCTGTGTGCCCGATAAATGCCCAAGACCTGCCAACTGCCCCGCAATTCGCACCGCCTTGCAACGCTCTTGCCGACCCAGCTGGCGCCCCCTGCCTGCGCTTGCTTGCGCGTCCGCTCCTTCAAGGACTGACTGCGTCACGAAGCTGAGTGCTGCATTCTCTGCTTTACAGGTCTAGCTTCGGGCAGTGCTAACAGCCGGGCCGAATGGCTTGTCTGGACTTGACACCATCTCACACCTGGCCTGCAGCTGCTGAGCCTCGCGGGCGACCTGCCGTCCTTAGACTGTGCTGCTTCTTCGGCTTGAAGGTTACGACTTCAGCGACAGGATCCCAAACAAGCCCTTAAACACGGGCAACATCGGGCAATCCTCTCTGTGAAAAAGCCAATACATGCCAAGAACCTCGTTTGCTCCTGACTTCTTTCCCGAAACTGACGTATTGAGCAGCGTTAAGCATCCAGGCGTCCTACGGCCTGCGCCTTTGTGAGCCCGCCCGTGGATGCCCGCATCGTCTGGTACAGGTCGGACATCAAGCTCTGGAACTTCTGCACCTTTGCGGACACCAGCCACAAGCCGCCATCTGCGTCAAGAGAGCAGCAGGATTCAAGAAGTGAGCCGCCTGGCCGGCACGCGTGGCGTTGCCCTCGACCAGAGGCTCCGCGGCGGAAAGAAACCTGAGAATGGCTGAACGGTTTTTCCAGCCTGAGCGTATCTGAGGGTCCAAAGGCGGATCGACTCAGAGACTCGCCGTGTCAGAGCATCCCCGGCAGCAACACGTGACACGCCCAAGGAGGAGATCTCGGCGAAGCCCTTGAGCTCGGCGAGCATGGATCCCGTGGCAGTCACAGCATTCTGCAAGAGCTCCTTCGATGCAGAAACACCGCCGTGCAGTTTACAGATTTGAGGCTTTGGCTTCTGCTCCTCTTCTTTGGGCTGTGTGTTCTGGGCAATGTGGTGCAAGTAGATGGTGTTGATCTTGAGGGAGTGGTCGATCTTCTTGTCCAGGTATTCTGTTTCCGTCCTGGTTGCTTCCGTGGACCACTCCACCATCTTTCTCATGTTGTCATTCGAGATCTTGGTAGCCTCAAACATGCTGAGATCCCCCGTGCACGCTCGCTCGGCCCTCTTGCTCCCTCCCTGCCCGTTGCACCTGTTCCAAGTTTCGCAGAATGGTGCGGTCGCCACGGATGACGGCATCGCGCACGCAGTGGATGTCACAGAAAAGCCGTGAGAAGCCGGCCTGGCCAGTCTTGCCGCCTAGCCTATTTAATTTGTGCACTCGTCAATGGAGCAGGCCGCCCACCTCGTAGGGATTGCAGGCCTTGTATCCTTCTATGTCAACTGCAAGATCCACTGCTTGCTTGGAGATGTCAAAGGGAAGATCCACTATTGTTCCTGCAGCTGCGATGAAGGCTGGCCGCAGCGGCATCGAGGTGTGCAAATATGATAGCACACATACATGTATAATTC